GAAATGAAGGAGAAATTAAGACATTCACAGATTTTAAGTGAGAGAGACAATTTATTATAAGCAGACCAGCCCTACCAGAAATATGACAGGAAGTCCTTCAGGATGTAATAAATGGACCCTAGACAGTAGCTCAAATCACATGAATAGAGTACCATTAAAGTAATTGCATATGTAAATATAAAAAACAATATAGCCCTGGCCAGTTTGGTTCAGCGGTTGGATCATCAGCCTGTGGACCAGAGAGTCCTGGGTTTGGTTCCCACTAAGGGCATGTACCTTGATTGTGGTTAGTCCCTGGCCACAGTTGGGGTTGTGTGGGTAGCAACAGTCGATGTGTCTCTCTCATATTGATGTTTCGCTCTTTCTTTTCCCTCCTCTCTCCCTCCCACTTTATCTGAAGATTAAAAAAAAATAAATAAAAATGTCCTTTGGTGAGGATAAAAAAAAAAAAAAAGACAATATAAATGAATTTTTGCTTGCAATTTTTTTCTCCTATCTAATTTAAAGGACTGCATAAAGCAATACTTATATATCTGTGTTGATAGGCATAAAATGTATAAAGATGTAATTTGTATCATGAAAACAGTACAAGTTCTTAAGCACCGAAAAGGGAAGGAATGGAACTATATAGGAGTAAAGTTTTTTATATACTGCTGAAATTAAGTTGGTATTAATCCGGAACAGATTTTTATAAATTAAAATGTTAATGTATAAACCACTAAGAAAATAATTTTAAAACATAGTAAAAGAAATTAAAATATTACACCACTATATATCTATTTAATACAAACAAAGGCAGTAATGGAAGAACAAAAAAGACATAAGACATATAGAAAACAAATAGTAAAATGACAAATGTAAGTTTTACATTTTCAGTAATTACATAAATGGTAAATGGATTAAACACTAAAATTAAAAGACAAAGATGAATTTTTTTAATGATTCAACTATATGCCCTCTACAGGACACACGCATTAGATTCAAAGACACAAATAGGTTGAAAGTAAGTAGATGGAAAAATCATGCCATTCAAATAGAGAAGTCATCCCTGACCAGTGTGACTCAGTTGGTTGAGCATCATCTAATACACCGAAGGGTTGCCACTTCAATTCTTGGCCAGGGCACCTGCCCAGGTTGTGGGCTCAATCTCCAGTAGGGGACATGCAGGAGGCAGGAGATCGATGTTTCTCTCTCAGATCAATATTTCTCTCTCTCCCTCTCCCTTCCTCTCTCTCTAAAAAAATCAATAAATACATCTTTTTTAAAATAGAGAATTCATTCATAATAATTGGAGATGTCAATACCCTACTACTAATGGTGATTGCTAATGGTTACAGTTTCTTTGGGGGGAATGAAAATGTTCTGGAATCACAAAGTGATGATTATACCTTAAAAAACACTGAATTGTACATTTCAAAAGGGTTGGTTTTATGATATGTGAGGAAATAAAGTTCTACCCCTGCTCCCATTCTCTGCCATAAACACTCAGTTTGGGGGATGTGGAAGGGGGGTTCCCATAGTTATTACTCATCATGCCTCATATCAGCCTCTAACAGAACTGAAGAGATGCATCCTCACTTTTCAATACATTTCATAGAAAATAAACCAAACTCTATTCATAGCCTAAGGGGCTCAGAGTCACCTGGACATATGCAAGAAATCTGAGAATCACTTGGTATCAGCATTTCCCAAAGTATGTCCCATGAAACACTTGTGCAATGGGAAATGAATAGATTGCAAAGAAAAGGGCCCTGTTGTCAAGTCAGTTTGGGAAACACGAGGTTAAATAAAGTTAGACTGGTCTCTTCACTGCTAGGACTTCAGGAGTAGTCTTCAGTGTACAAGGATACACCATAAAGCTTCAGGTCCAGGGTATGGAAGAATCATTTCCCAAGCTTGTTTGATAAGGAACCCTTCTGCTCCTCATAAAATTTCTCAGGACTAGTAGGAAAACTGCCCTAGACAACTCTATTGAGACAACTCGGAAAAACCAGAGAGGCCCCAATTGGAAAGTTACAAAAAGGCCAGATCCCTATTCCGTGAGTGAAGATGGAACATAGCTTCTTCTGCTCAACAAGTCATGGGTGGATGAGGTCACAGAAGAAACGGCAACAGGATATAACTACAGCCTTAAAATCTAAGCATTTTCTCAGAGCTGTGTCTTACTCATCCTTAAATCCCCAGCACCTAGCATGACATCTGGCAAATAGGTACGTTCAATATGCTTATGAAATGAATGAATCAAAAAATAAAACTAGGAGAGACTCAAGCTTCAAAGGGATTAATTTGTATGTGAAAAATATTAGCTTTTGGAACTCTCCTTCAAAAAGTGATTTAGGCCAGGAAACAACATCAGATGCATTCCACCGTGGGTTGTTGAAAGAACCTTGAGGGGGCAGGCATAAAGGCGGCCAGCCCTTCCCAGTCTCATTCCCTGGATCTTCTGCCAGGAGAAGGCTGGCTGGCTGAGCTCTGGCCTGATCTAACATGGCTCTTCTTATGTTCTTGTCCTCAGGCTGGGGTCATTACAGAGGCAAAGCTGAAGGATCTGACACCCCCCATGCCTGTGATGTTCATCAAGGCCATTCCTACAGATAAACAAGATTGCCGCAGCGTCTATCCCTGTCCCGTGTACAAGACTTGTCAGCGGGGACCCACCTACATCTGGACTTTCAACCTGAAGACTAAGGAGAGCCCATCCAAGTGGGTTCTAGCTGGAGTAGCTTTGCTTCTCCAGATTTAGCTCCTGCAAAGCCACTGAGCAAACAAGGCTGGGCTGGAGACTGCCCAGAGGGAAAGGTGGCTGAGGGGTGACCACAGGCACGTAGAAAGACAAGAAATCATAAGCACTCCCAATTCTGTACAATTTTTTTTTTTTAATCCTCACCTGAGGATATTTTTCCATTTATTTTCCGATAGAGTGGGAGGGAAGAAAAGAGGGAGAGACAAAGAGAGAGAAACATTGATGTGAGAGAGACACATCGATTGATTGCCTTCTGCACGACCCTGACCAAGGCTGGGACCAAACCACAACTGAGGTACGTGCCCATGAGAACCGAACCCGTGCCTCTTCGGTTCACAGGCCAACGCTCTAACCGCTGAGCCAAACCGGCCAGGGCTGTACAGTTCTTTTAGGCAACTTAGAGAGAAGTGCCTACAGGGATGCTGAGCTGGAAGCGCGTGGACCCAGGAGCTAGGGGAAAGGACTTCGCAAACTGAACCTTTCCTAATAAAGCGATTTATTCTTCCACTGTGTCTGGTCCAGGCTTTGAGTTGCGGAGTCATAAATGATCCTTAAGCGCCGAGGAGAAACAAGCCGCGAGCACGAACCTTGACGTGGTTGCACCGCACCAGTGCAGCGCACTAGCTCCCAGCTACTCCAGATGAGCGGCTTTGGCATCACCCATAAATCAGTTTGCATTTTAACAAGCTCCCAGGTGCTTTGTATGCACATAATGGTTTGAGAAACATTACTCTGGACCAGAAGTCACCATTTTCTGTAAAGGATCGCAGTAAATATTTTAGGCTTTTGCAGGGCATGTTGTTTGGTTGCAACTATTCAATTCTGCCACTGTAGCCCCAAAGCAGCCATAGACAATACAGAAACAAATGGGTGTGGTCACGGTCCAGCAAAATGTCATTACAAAAACAGGTAGTGGGCCCTATTTTGCTGATCACCACTCTAGAGGATAAGGGGAGTATATATATTTATCTTCTTCATTAGTTCACACATCCATTCAATACATTTTTATCTAACACCTACTATTTGCTGAGAACACAGCTGTGAATAGTAGGTGTGGCCTGTATCTCTATCACCCATCAGATCATTATGAGGGACCCAAGGAGAAACCCTTCATCTAAAGCTGTTTAACCTAGAAGTTTTCTAGAGTTTCCTCTGTGGAATGTATTTTCACTGGGAGCTCAAGGAGTTCCACAGTTTCAGAGTTTTCAAGAGCTCTATGGGTAGGCTCCTTTGGTTAGAAGAGTCTAGGAGGGCCCACTATCCCTTTCAGGATCACATATCCTCGCAGACACTTCTCTGGACTGAGCGGCCCCTTGGAGGGCTTGTTAACACAAAGATTGCTGGGCCCTACCCTTTAGAAGGTATGGGTCAGTGAGCCCAACAAATTGCTGCTCGTGTGGGAACCACACTCTGAGAACTCCTGATTTAAAACATAAAACCCACCATCCTACGAATCTCTGCTATGCAGAATCTCAATGCCAGTCCCTCCATGATTTTCCTGCTTTCTGCCCTGAGGTTCCTGCATCCCCTAAAGAGAGGCCTTATTCCTCGCCTTCACACTATAAGGCAGTTAAAAATGCCTCTGGAATCCAGGAATTCCAACTTCAGTTTCGTCTCCCCTCTCATCCACCAGTGAGGTACTTCCCATTGTTTGCCAACTGGCAGTTGCTTGCCTACAGGCTAATCTGTTTTCAGCGCTGTCCTTCTCATTAGCATCCTCCTCCTGACCTTCACCAAGAACTAAAGGAGAGCAGGCAAGGGGGAGATCGAGACGGAAGAAAGGCAGACGTCTCACTATGAGAGCAGGACACTTTGGAACATGGAACTTTTGAAGACAAGGACAAGAGGGCGGGTTAGATATATGCGTTAATAAACCTCTACACAGGACTATACATTAAGTCAATACTATTGATTTCTTCCGAACACCTACAAACAAAATGAATTAATAAAGATAATTTTAAAGCACAGAACACTATGGGAAAATAATAGCCTAAGTGGGACGCCAGGAGAAAGAAGGGCAGCTTGAGGTGTGCAAGCAAGTGGGTGGTGGGCTCAGAGAGAGGACAGCAGGCACAGCCTCACCCGAGACCAAGATGCCCAGCACCAGGCCGACACCTCCTGCCAATCCAGCTGGTTGATGAACTTGACAGGTTTGTGTGGGATGATCTACCATTGAGGGTCTCCTATGAGAAAATGCACTTTGAGTTTGAGTTAACACACAGTGGACACTTCAGACGCAAATAAGACAGGAGTGACTACTAAGTTTATTTAAAACAGGGACGTGACATCAATTTTGCACCAGTGTGACAAAGAACACACGTGAGCTCACTGGCCCTCTATGTCCCCCCTTTTGTAACAGATGGCCTGCTCTGGAACCCCAGTTTGAAAGGGCTGATCTGAGGTTCTTGCCATGAGCAGCAGTTGTGGCTAATCCAGTTCAACTCCCCCCGGTAGCACTTCTAAAATGGGATCTCCGAGCGACAGTCTTTTCCCATCTCTTCCCCCAAAACGAGAGGAGGTGAAAGACAGAGACTAGTCCTTCTCCTGGTGCAGAAGCAAGAAATTAAAGCAGTGTGAAATCTAATCCACAGGCTGATATATGCTCCAAGTCCCAACCCACTGCAGGAACTCTCTTCTCTAATCCATGCACAAAAGAGAGAGCAGGGACATCCTCTGAGAGATGCCATTTCTCCGGAGGAGCTACGTGTTTTAGATGAACCAGGATGTGGAAACGGGCTGAGAATGTGGCTATGGAAAGGCCTTCTTTCCCAAGTGGGATCTCTGATGTTTATCAAGGCTCGAACTCCAGCTGAAACTTTTCCCGCAGCGGGAACATTTGTAAGGTTTCTCTCCGGTGTGAACCCGCTGATGTCTGTTAAAGTTTGACCTCTGGATAAAGCTCTTCTCGCAGATGGGACATTTGTAGGGCTTCTCCCCTGTGTGTATTTTCTCGTGGTGGCGCAGTCCCGAGAAGTCACTGAAGCCTTTCCCGCAGTAGTCGCACTTGCAGGGCTTCTCTCCCGTGTGGATCCGCTGGTGCTTCACGAAGTCGGAGCTGCGCAGAAAGGCTTTCTTGCAGGTGGGGCACTGGAAGTACGTCTCTCCGGTGTGCGTTCTTTGGTGGAAAACAAGCTGAGAATTCCTGTAGAAGGTTTTCCCACACTCCCTGCAGGTGGGCAGTTTCTGGGCCATCGGGGCTCTCAGCTGCCCTTTAGAAGAGGCCTCTCTCTTCTCCTCAAGCCACAGCACGGACAGCTCTCCTGGATGAGGACTGGGCAGATGGTGGCCTGGTTGTTTCCCAGAACTCCTTTCTTGCGAGAACTGTCCCCCTGCTCCCTCGCCCTGAAGGTTTTCCTGAGCCTCAGGGAGAGTCTCTCCTTCTCCAAGGTGTCTCGGCTCGTCCTCAGTGAAGAGGCCACTCAAGGAAGCCTGAGAAGGTGCCCCTTCTGAGGCAAGACAGGAGGCATCTGGAGGTTCCTGGTCCCTATAATTTTCCAAGTTCAGGTTCTCTTTGTCATTCTCCTGTCTATCTCCTGAAAGAAGAAAGATTTAAAACAGTTCATTAAGTAGTATGCCCTATTTTCTAGTTCATATGTCCAAGAAAGGGTCAACACAGAGCATTAATTCTTTGACTGAGAGGGCATCAGTGAGTGAGGAGGAAAACCACCATCCACCCTGAGCCCCTGGCTGGCACTCACTTCCCTGGTGCTGGGGTCCAGGCGAACTGATGCAGCTCTGGACCTGATGAGAAGGTCTGATAGCAGAGGAGGGCACACAGAGGGCACTGACCCCCCCCCCCAAAAAAAAGCAGCGTGCATTATTTATTTATTTATTTGTAAACCCTCACCCGAGGATATTTTTCCATTTACCTTCAGACAGGGGTGGGCGGGGAGAGAGAGAGAAACAGTGATGTGAGAGACACACATCAATTGGTTGTCTTCCGCACAACCTCAACCAGCGCTGGGGACCAAACTACAATCAAGGCACATGCCCTTAACCAGAATTGAATCCTTGACCCTTTGGTCCGCAGGCTGATGCTCTAACTGCTGAACCAAACCGGCCAGAGCCAGCATGCATTTTTTTAAAAATTATAATTGATATACATTATATTAGTTTCAGGTGCACAATATAGTGATTCAACATTGATATACCTTACAAAGTGATCACCACAGTAAGTTTGGTAAACATCTGTCACTGTACGTAGTTATTGCAATGTTAATCACTATTCCCTAGACTGTACTCCCATGACTTCATATGGTATTTGTCTTTCTCTCTCTGACTTGTCTCACTTAGCAGGATACTCTAGGTCCAACCCATATTGTTGCAAATGGCAAGATTTCATTCTTTTTTAAGGCTGAGTAACAATCCATTATGTCTTTTTGTGTGTGTGTTTATCCCCTCTTCTTTATCCACTCATCTGTCAGTGGAAACCTAGGTTGCTTCCATATCCTGGCTGCTGTAAACAATGCTGCAAAGAACATGAGGGTGCAAATATCTTTTTGAATTCGTGTTTTTGTTTTCTGAAGATAAATACCCAGAAATGGAATTGCTGAGACATATAGCAACTCTATTTTTACATGCATTTATTAAGACCCAGGAAAAACAAATGTATTATATGAAAGTGCTACTTTAAAAAATGATTGGTATTTATCTGATTATATGTAAAAGATAAACATGATCACTAAAAGTAATTTGAAATGTACACAGAAGATAACCAAATAAACCTCAATCATACAACCCAGAGGTAACAACCATGAGTATACATTTCCTGCCAGTCTTTATTTAATCAATAAGTATGTGTGTATGTACATGCTTTCATCTGACAACTGATAGGTTGTGTACACAGTTCTATATCTGGCTTTGTAGCATTTAAATGGTAAATGGTGGTCTTTATCAATTTCACATGGATTCTCCCCTTTACAAGGAGCCCGGAAATTCATGAAATGCATCAATGTCATTTTACTATGGTTTTAATGTACAGTGAGGCTGTAGCAGCATAAAAGTGAATCTATGCTTCATTAACTCACGTAATGTTTGAAATTTTATTTTCCTCAACATAACTTAGGTGTTTGGTCATTGCAAGTTAATGATGCTTACAGTAAAGATTTTCTTTTGGTGATAGAATTTATTTTCAGCTTTTATAAATTACTTTATTCCTGTAGATCTAATGAAGCTATTTACCTTTCTCTTTCCTATATTAGTGTCTTTCAAATTTTCTGCTAGGGACCCAGGAACATGTGAGAGAAGTAGACCTGAACTTGTTAATTCACAGCCTTAGAACACATTCTTCTCAAATGGCAAAGACACTTTCTCTTGTCTTTAAAGAAGCCTTTATAAATATTTTAAAAAGCTGAATAATGGTCCATCATGCAGATGTCATAATAAACACATATAATAAACATATATTTCAGACTTCTCCTACTGTGGAAATCCGATGTGTTGTGTTTTTGCCACTATAAATAATGCAGTGATAAGCATTGTTCTCCATAAATTTTAACCCACATTTCTGATCAGTACCTTAAAGGAGGCTCCTCGAAGTGGAATTACTATGTCAATAGGCATAAATGTTGTCATTAAGGCTCTTGACACTTCCTGACTCCCAGAGTGACTGCGCCACCCTCCGGTATGAGAAGCTGGGCAGAGTGGAGAACAGTGTTCGATACTTCAGTATTGTATATTTTAAAAATATCTTCCATTTAGACCAGTGAAAAGTGGTTTTTCATTATTTTAAGTTTTAATTTTTAAAGGATAAATTTTTTTCACATTTATGAGCTATATGTCATACTCCGAAACTGCCATCCATTTCTTATTGGGAAAGTCACTTTTTCTTATCAACTTGTATTAACTATATACTAAGAAAAATAATTATTGATCTGTCATGTTCATAAAAAATATTTTTCAACAATTTGGTTGCCTTAATTTTTTACATATAGAAGTGTGAGGTTTCTTTCTTTTTAAATGTACTAACGTCTATTAATCTTTTCCTTAATGATTTTTTTCACTGACTTTATACTGATAAAAACCTTTCCCATTCTGCCCTGGCTGGGTGGTTCAGTTGTTTGGAGCATCGTTCCATAAACCAAAAGGTTGCGGTTTCAATCCCCAGTCACGGTGCGGGAGGCAATGGATTGATGTTTCTTTTTCACATTGAAGTTTCTCTCTCTATCTGTTCCTCTCTCTCTAAAAATCAATAAAAATATATCCTCAAGTGAAGATTTTTAAAAAGTAGAAAAAAACCCCTTCCTCATCCAGACATGAGTCAACCATTCATTTTCTTCTTTATTATTTTCATGTTATGTCTTTTTCATCTATTTCCAACTTATTTTGGTATGTGACATACATCAAATTTGAACCAGTTCCTTTTCCCAAGTCTTTTTTCCTGACACTACTCATTTAAGAGCAACTTGTCCCACGGATCTGTGAGAATCTCATCGCATGTGAGATTCTTATACAGACCAGCTTCTTTCCCTACGCTGCCTTTTCCGTTCCATTTGTGCATCTATTTTTACATCCCGATCCCATTATTTTAATTATTTATTTATTATTATTATTTTTTATCCTCACTTGAGGACATTTTTTCCATTTTTTGTTCAGACAGAGTGGGAGGGAGAGAGAGGAACAGAGAGAGAGAGAAACATCGACATGAAAGGGACACATCGAGTGGCTGCCACCCGCACAACCAACCAGGGCCGGGGACAAACTGCAACCGAGGTACGTGCCCTTAGCGGGAACCGAACCCGGGTCTCTCCGGACCGCAGGCCGATGCTCTAACCGCTGAGCCAAACCGGTCAGGGCTATTTTAATTATTTTTAATGACAGACTATATTTACAGATCTAATATTAATGAAATATTCTCTCAAAACTTTTTACTATTCTTGCAGCATTATTCCAGATAACTACTTAAGAATCATCTCTCAAAACAACTTTTTTTAATCCCTCGGGATTCTGCTGAGAGGCATGTGTACGGGCCACTGGGAGGCGTGTGAACGCGGCACTGGGAGGCGTGCTCCTCCGCTGTTTTAACGGGAACTGATCGCCCACGCTGTGATCCAGTGAACTCGCTCCCCTGGGGCTTTGTGCCCGTGGAGTCAGACCGGGCAGACCGGCTGAACCAGCCCCCTTCCCTCTTCCCACTGCTGTTTCCACATGACCCTCCATCAACCTCCCACGTTCCTCCGCTCTGAATGCTGCCTCCGGGGCCTGCCTGCCCACTGCCCCTTCCTCAGCCCCGCTTCCACTCGTCCTCTCTCAGAACCCGCAGGGCACCTGTTCCCCTCCCGCGGCAGGCTGGCTCTGTGGTTCTCTCTGTGAGGGCCTGGCAGCACGTGGGATGAAGGAAAAGAAAAGAATGGCTGGGGATACAGTGCGCTATAGCTCACACATAATCCTACTGCAAAGGAGCGCGTGGGAAATCTCTGCATCTTCCACTCAATTTTGCTGTGAACATGAAACTGCTCTAAAAAATAAAGTCTGTCAAAACAAAATTCCTACCGCAACAACCTCTAAAGCGGTATTTTCAAGCTTTTTTGTCTACTACCCCCAGTAAGAAATGTTTATGTTGAAATACAGTATACACACATAATTTTGGAACACAGATTTCCTGAAACACTACCTACCCTGACACCTAATATTTTCTATTTGCATTCTACTATTTTCTATTTAATCTTTTCATTTCATTTTTTAAATGATTTCACAATACACTGATTAGTCATGAAATACAGTTTGAAAAGTACTGCTCCAAAGAAATCCTTGTGAAATAGTGTTATGATAAATATGTTGCTTAAAATTAAAAGCATATGTCTCACTGATGCATGCTGTCTGCGGTGATTAGCGAAGAGAAAGGCCCCACTAGCCCCAGGGGGGAGAAGGAAAGCCTTCTCACAGTGCGCACCCTCTGTCCTCCCTTCCTCCGAGACCCTGGGAGCCTCTGCACACGTGACAGCACGTGTGTCTAGGCAGGTCTGACAGGAACGTTTCACAGAGCCGCAGTATTTTACAAGAAGGTTGAAGGCAAAGGGTGACTGCTATTTACAACAGAACAAGTTTGTATTTCTTCTTCCCCAGCCCTAAACACATGGTTTATGTGAAGTATTTGTTGTTTGTGCTACTTAATGAAAGTTAGGTGTGTTAAGATGAGCTAAAATAGCCCTGGACAGTTGTTCAGTGGTTAGAGCACTGGCCCACACACTGAAGGGTTGAGGGTTCAATTCTCACATGCGGGAGGCAACCAATCGATGTGTCTCTCACATCGATGTTTTTTTCTCTCTCCCCCTCTTCTTCCCTCCCTTCTATTCTATCTAAAAATAAATGAAGAACAATATCCTGAGGTGAAGATTAAGAAAAAATTAAAGAATTAGCTAAAACATGTTTTCGCGTTTGTCTTATTTTATTTTGTTGAGGGTAAGGTGGTTACTATTCACTATAACCAGAATAAGAAAAGTCTAATTACTCTGAACCCTCTCACAAGAGGAAGGATAATAAATGACTGTTATGTAATCTTTTTTGTAATAGAATTCTACCCATATCTGTATTGGTCTCAATCTGTGCTAATCTTAACTCTCTCTGAGAAAGACAGTTGGCACAGATAAGACTGAAGGCAGCAGATTCGAGGTGTGATCTTTCTTCCACGATTAACTACGGGTCTCAACAGCCCCACAGCCAGAGAGGAAGGAGAACTGACGTCCATTTTCAGTCCACACTAACCATGTCGTGGCTAGTCAGAACCGGCGGAATGGAAACCCCCACCTTCAAGTCAACGGTGGGAGACCAGAGAAGGCTCTGCCCGGGGCAAGCCTGCTCACCTCTGCAGGTGGCTCTGGGGATCTTCTCGCCAACATGCAGGGGCAGTCCTGCCAGGCCTTCCCCATAGTCTACTGGACTAGCCAGGTCAGGCTTGGCACTGGAAATGCCTGGAACAGAGAGAGAGAACAGGTGGGCCTGACGGACTGGGTGGACAGGGGCCCAGCTGCTTGTCACAGGCATGTTCTGAGTGTGAAAAGAAATAGGAAGGCCGTCGAAACCACGTGGGGTAACTCATCTCAGAGGATGTGTGGGGCTTCTCAGACAGTGCTCACAGGATAACCAGGATACATGGTGGAGACCACAGAGTCTGGACGGGGAGAGTCAGGCCACCTGATGACTAAGACCTCTCCCACAGCTGGTTGAGGCTGTGGTTAGTATTAAAGAGCATGGACTCAGAGCCAGGCACGACTGAGTTCCTTCGTAACTCAGCACATGAGCTACGTAACAGTGAGCACGTAACTTGATCTGACACTCACTTTTGTCACCTTAAAAATGGGGTCAATGGGGAAAAAATAGGAACATCTGTTATACTTCCAACAATAAAAAATAAATGGGAATAGCATCACCCATTTCATAGGTTAAAGGAGTTACTGTATGCAATGCACCTGTAACAGTTCCTGGCACACAGAATACATTCAATGCGAGGAAGTTCTTACTGTAAGTACTGTCTCCAACTCACTCCAGTTCCCAGGGGTGCCGCTAATGATATTCTCACCCAGAGAACCTCACAGAGAGCAGGTATGTCTAAGAGCACACAGAAAATGCTTAACAGTCTTTCCATCTCCTTCCATCAGGCTGACCCACACCCTCACCTCCTGAGACCATTTTCCCATAGGTCTCCAGCATGAGATCCCAGTATTGCTCCTTCTGAGTGGTATCCAGGTGCCGCCACTGCTCCTAGAAAAAACACAATGCTGTGAATTCACCGAAGGTCTTTGAACCTGCCTTCCCTGCCTACAGGAAGCTAAGAAGAAAGGAATGTGCCTTAGGAGCCTGGCCATCAGCATATGTAAGAAGTCGTGAGAGGTGGTTCAAGAAAAAAGGCCAAAGGAAAAGTTCTGCATTATTTTTAAGTTGCTTGTATTTAAGAGCAGAGAACAGAGAGAAAGCAGGAGCCCTCTCTACACTGTCCCTTTCTTTAATCCTTCCAGTGCCTACTTAGAGGTCTTTGAACAGTAGGAGCCTGATAGTCCCAGTATTTCATTAAAATCTGGAAAGTCAAGAAAGAAAAGAAAAAAATTAATTTGCAGTTGGAAAAGCAAAATCAGTGAAAAAGTGGGAAGAAGCAAGCGTCAAGTCAACCGAGCTGGAGGTCTCTCTGGAGGCCTCAGAGCGCGAGAGATGCTGCAGCCGCACACATCTGGGATCTCTGACAGTTCTCAGTGTGGGTCTAACATCCATCAGTCTTCTTTCCAGTGACTGGGAAACTGATGACTTGTCTAGAGGAAGGTGCCCCTCGATGATCCCCAAAACATGCCTTTCTTAGCCAATGGACCTGAAGACTGGAGACTCAAAGCTGGCAATGCCATCTAAGTAGGATCTACTTTCGTGAATTCAAAGTTCAATCGCCCCACCAAGAAGAAAACTGTTAGAAACTCAGATTGCACAGCAGAGTGATTTACAGCACAGTCTTTGGAGTCAAACATGCTGGGTTTCAAGTCCCAGTTCTGCTACTTCCTAGCAGTGTGATCTTGAGTAAATTACTTAACATTTCTGGGCCTTAGTCCTCACATAATGATAGTACTGAACTCAAAAACTTTTGGGAGGCTTAACAGAAATAATGAAGTGTCATCTGTCTTCAGAGCACACTGCACTCTTCATTCACAGCATTTATCAGTTTATTCAATATTTATGTATATGTACACTATGTATATGACAGAATACCCAATGTTCTCACACACATAAAAGAATTTAATCAATAGTTGGCTCCAATAGCACACAACACCATGAAAAAGGACTCTCCACTGTACTCTTCAAGTCCCCAAGACGCTGCCCAGGACGGAGTAAGTCACTCAACGCATACGTCTGGGTGAAATACACAGCTCTTAGCAAGTAAGCCCTCAGTAAATGATATTCAGTGTTATGACTATCCTATGCACTCCATGGGATACTCGGCCTCCCAGACTAACTCCAGGGTCTGCAGAGAGAATTAAGGATTCTGTACACTTTCAGGAACCCCAAAGTTGATAGCCATGGATTATTGTTATGAAAAGCTAGCTAGGCTACAGGGAGCAGAAAATAGAAGAAAAAGATGAAGTCATCTTCCTAATACAAATAATATACTACTCAGAGATACTCTTCTCAGTCCTAGCACATCAGAGAGAAGTAACGTCTTTTAACTAGCAGATACTAAGGGGAAGGGTAGGGGGAAGGAAGGAAGGAAGGAAGGAAGGAAGGAAGGAAGGAAGGAAGGAAGGAAGGAGGGAAGGAGGGAAGGACGAGAGAGGAGGGAGTGCAAGAAAGAAGTAAACATATTTAGGGTGAAAAAAATGAAAAGGTGAAGAGTGACCTTAATATATTTAACTATGAATTTAATTACTAACTATAACCCCATATTAATGTATATCTTAATTCAGTGCATTTAAAAAACTTTTTTAATTAATTTATTTGTTACAGATGTATCTCCTTTCCCCCCCAATGATACCTCCCTCCCTCTCCCTCCCCGCCTTGTCCCCGGCTTTGTTGTCCATGTCCATTGTTCATGCATACATGCATATAAGTTCTGTGGTTTATCTCTCCCCCACCAATCCCTCTTCTGGGGATTATCAGTCTGTACCCCACTTCCACGTCTCTAGGACTACCCCATTCCTCGGACTGTTATGTTTGTTATATTCACAAATAAGTAAGATTATGTGATATTTGTTTTTCTGTTTGGCTTGTTTTGCTTAGGATAATGCTGTCCAGGTCCCCCCATGTCATCTCAAAGGATAAGAGATCTTTCTTTCTTACCACTGCATAGTACTCCATTGTGTATATGTACCACTGCTTTTTAATACATTTGTCTGCTGATGGACATTCGGTTGTTTCCAGATCTTAGCTATTGTAAATAGTGCAGCTATGAACATGGGGGTACATATAGTCTTTCTGATGGGTGTTTCAAGCTCCTTAGGGTATATTCCTAGAAGTGGGATCACTGGGTCAAATGGAAGTTCAATTTTTAATTTTTTGAGGTAACACCATAGTGTTTTCCATAGTGGCTGCACCAGTCTGCATTCCCACTAGCAGTGTACAAGACTCCCCTTTTCTCCACACCCTCACCAACACTTGTTGTTTGATGATTTGTTCATGGAGGCCATTCTGACAGGTGTGAGGTGATATCTCACTGTTATTTTAATTTGCACCTCTCTGATGATTAATGATGTTGAGCATTTCTTCGTGTGTCTCTTAGCCATTTGTATGTCCTATTTGGAGAGGTGTCTATTTAGTTCCTCTGCCCATTTTGTAATTGGGTTCTTTGTATTCCTTTTGTTGAGCTTTATGAGCACTCTATATATTTTGGAAATTAACCCCTTATCTGATGTATCATTGGCAATTATGGTCTCCCGTACAGTGGGTTGCCTTTCCATTTTTGTAGTTGTTTCTTTTGCTGTGCAGAAGCTTTTGAGTTTGATGTAGTCCCATGTGTTCATTTTCTCCTTTGTTTCTGTTACCTTAGGTGATGTATCAGTGAAAATTCTGCTGCATATGATGTCTGAAATTTTGTTGCCTACATTTTCTTCTAGGATTTTTATGGATTCATGAGTCACATTTAAGTCTTTTATCAACTTTGAGTTTATTCTTGTGTATGGTGTAAGTTGATGGTCTAGTTTCATTTTTTTGCATGTAGCTGTCCAATTTTCCCAGCATCATTTATTAAAGAGGCTGTCTTTACTCCACTGTATGCTTTTGCCACCTTTGGCAAATATTAATTGAGCATATTGCCTTTGTCAAATATTAATGGAGCATATTCCATATCAGGGTTCTCTGTTCTGTTCCACTTGTCTATATGCCTATTCTTGGGCCAGTACCAGGCTGTTTTGATTACAGTGGCTTTGTAGTATAACTTGAAATCTGGGAATGTGATCCCTCCAACTTTGTTCTTCTCTTTCAAGATTGCTGTGGCAATTCAAGGTCGTTTTTGGTTCCGTATGAACATTTGAAGTATTTGTTCTATTTCTGTGCAGTATGTCGATGGTATTTTGATGGGGATTGCATTGACTCTATAGGTTGCTTTGGGTAGTATGGACATTTTAAGGATGTTAATTCTTCCAATCAATGAACAAGGTATGTGCTTCCACTTTTTTATATCTTCCTCTATTTCTTTTTTTATTTTTTTATTTTTTTTATCCTCACCCGAGGACATTTTTTTCTATTTTTTGTTCAGATAGAGTGGGAGGGGGAGAGAGAGAGAAACATAGATGTGAAAGGGACACATCGAGCATCTGCCCCCCATACAACCCAACCTGGGCCGGGAACAAACTGCAAACGAGGTACATGCCCTTAGCAGGTCTCTTTAGACTGCAGGCCAGCACTCTAACAGCTGAGTCAAACTGGACAGGGCTTCGTCTGTTTGTTTTTTTAATGTCCTGTACTTTACTGCGAATAGGTCCTTTATTTTTTTGGCTAAGTTTATTCCAAGGTATCTTAATTTTTTGCCGCAATGGTAAATGGGATTGTTTTTTTACTTTCTCTTTCTGTGAGTTCAGAACTAGTGTATAAGAATGCCATTGATTTCTTGACGTTAATTTTGTATTCTGCTACTTTGCCAAATTCATTTATTAAGTCTAGTAAATTTTTGATGGAGTCTTTGGGGTTTTCTAAGTATAGTATCATGTCATCTGTGAATAATGAAAGTTTCACTTCCTCCTTTCCAATTTGGATCCCTTTTATTTTTTCTTCCTGTCTGATTGCTGTGGTGAAGACTTCCAGTACTATGTTAAATAAGAGTGGCAAAAGTGGGCCTCCTTGTCTTGTTCCTGTTCTTAAGGGAAATGCTCTTAGTTTTTGCCCATTGAGTATGATGTTGGCTGTAGGTCTTTCACATATGGCCTTTATTATGTCAAGATATGATCCCTCTGTTCCCAGATTGCTGAGCATTTCTATCAGAAATGGATGCTGGATTTTGTTGAATGCTTTTTCAGCGTCTGTTGATATGATCATATGATTTTTATCTTTCATTTTGTATATGTGGTGTATGACATTTATTGATTTGTGAATATTGTACCAGCCTTGCATACTTAGGATGAATCCCACTTGGTCACGGTGAATAATTTTTTTGATGTATTGCTGGATTCAATTTGCTAGTATTTTGTTCAGGATTTTGGCATCTATGATCATCAGGGATATTGGCCTGTAGTTTTCTTTCTTTGTAGTGTCTTTTTCTGATTTTGGAATTAGAATTATGCTGGCCTCATAAAATGAGTTTGAAAGTCTTCCTTCTTCTTGAATTTTTTGAAATAGTTTGAGGAGAATGGGTATTGGTTTTTTGAATGTTCAGTAAAATTCCCCCGTGTAGCTCTCTGGGCCTGGGCTTTTGTTTTCTGAGAGAGTCTTGATTATCTCTTCAATTTCCTTAGTTGTTATTGGTCTGTTCAAGTTTCTACCTCTTCCCAGTTCGGTTTTGGGAGACTAAGTGTTTCTAGAACTTTGTCCATTTCACTTGGATTGTCGAATTTGTTGCCATATAATTGTTCTTAATATTTGTTAACAATCCATTGTATTTCTCTTTCATTTCTGATTTTGTGCGTTTGGGTTCTCTCTCTTTGTTTCTTGGTGAGTCTAGCTAAGGGTCCATCAATCTAGTTGATCTTTTCAAAGAACCAGCTCTTTGTTTCATTGATCCTTTGAATTGTTTTTTTGGTCTTCATGTCATTTATTTCTGCTCTGATCTTTACTATTTCCTTCCTTCTACTTGCTCT